TATATATATATATATATATATATATATATAAAACATCATTAACTACTTAATCTTTCCCCTTTATCGCATTTTTACAACGCCAACTCTACTTTAGCAGAGTCCCCACCAATGTTTCTTTATCGCGACCAAAGTATGATTTTACGAGAAGCCGTGAGCTAAATATGCCCGCATCGTAAAATTAATGGCGTTTTCATGAAGAAATTCGCTACTTAAAACTCGATGAAAGCCAATAAAGCATCGCCGCAGAACGCAGTTTAGTTGAGTTTATCGCCTGCCCCCTCTGGGTAGTCCTCACAAGTAATCACGGCAGGTTACCTGTATCCATTTACCGCGTCCTTCGCAAGAATTCATGTCATGACCGGCAATGTCATATATAATGATTCTCAGACATGAAAAATCGCGCGATTACTTAAGCATTGTAAAACGACTGTACATGGCAAACTACTGTTAATTTTTATTAACCGTAACGAAGCAACGATGAAATTACACGCGGGGAAAGTTGTAAGTACTAAAAAACTTCGTTCACGAAATTACACACGTGAATGGCAAATGAAAAAGTGGTACCTGAAAGAATGCAGATGGATTACGAATTACACATACCGCGATACCGCGAATTAAAACATAATCGTGAATGTATGTTGCGATTGCAAATTATTTATTTTACAATACACAATTGCGTAAAAATTGAAATGTTTCTTTTATGATCATATCATCATTTTCATTTTCTCACTTATTTTTACTGCAATAAATTTTCACGGAAATTGATAAAATATCGAAATAAAGTTTAACTGCAGTATATCATAGTTTATGTAAATCCCAGGCCGATATCCCAGTGTTTCTTGGCATCGAAAGCTCTCGCGTTATTGCTAAGGGGAGAACGGACGAATGAAAAGATCGTCATTTTCTCGTTATTGCACTGTGGAAATGCTATAACACTAAAAATGACCATATAACATCCGTATGCATTTGTGGAATAAAGTAGCCGATTATCGTTCGTCTGCGCGCCATTATAAGATACATCATCCAGACAGTAGATAGCCATGTCTCCCTTAGTAGCATGATCATCTTAGAATTGTACTGAGTAATAATGGCTCGGTTTATCTGCGACGGGTATTAGCTACCTATATAATGTTACCTTCTCTCACGCATCGACATTTTTACCCAGATATCTTTATAGTAGCATAAAACGGTTTTATTACACGATTTAAACCATGTAGGGCATTTATAATGCGCTACGATATAGCTTACCAATTCTAAAATTTTTCGTTATCGGAATAGTTAGCTAATTATGCATTTACATCTCATTTATTTGATCTTAAAAATAATACTTATTTTTTTTAAGATTTTGTTAATTTATTATTTTGTGAAAAATTATGTCAAATAAAAGAATCGGCATTTATTTCGATCGTAATTTAATATTGAATATTCTCCCGACAGTCGTGCATTTATATTGTTTATAACAATTTTTCTTCGGTCTCGATCTTCAGTGCATTTTTGAGAACACCGTGCGTTTGTACGGACCACCAGCTGAAGAAGCCGAGAATACGAAAGGACACCGATACTCACATAACTTTGAATCTGGCGGATGGGGGGGAAGAGCGCTCCGTAACTCTTTGAAAGTTTATGCCGATTCAGAAACGAGTTGATTCATGAAGATGGCATGGACCTCCTTGGGATCTACAGCTTGGTGCACCCCAGACCGTAGCGGGTGGTCCCGTGAGTTGATTTCTTGTTTCCTCTACCGTAAACCGCGAACGCGGTAGCCCTCATCGTCCTTCTCTTCTCTAACTTTGTGGAAAGAGCGAAAGGCAAGAAGAGCAAGAGAGGAAGAGAAAGAGAGGAAGAAGGTAGAGGATAGGACGAAAGCGACGTTCCCCGCTATAGGAATTGTCGATTTAAATGTTTACTAATAACCAAGCTTGTCCAGCAACCACCCAGAAGTCGGTCGCTTTGCATTTTTATAAGTACATCCCGGTCGTCCCGGTTCCGAGAATGAGAACGTTTCATATTCATTCACCGTTTTAAAAGAATGGTCCCCTGCGTCGACTAGAAGCCTCCTCATGTATTGTCTCTACTGAATTGCACACGATGCACGATTAGGCCCTCGACTCGAATGGCATAATAATCAACATGTTACCCGACTCGGAAAAGCGGCGTATGCCCAAGAATATTGAATTGCATTCAATTATCAAGTCGTTCGATACATATATGGAGTGTCCAATTAGCAATTAAAAAAAAAAAAATGATAATTCTATATGAAAAAATAAATTTTTTAGAGACTTCTGTAAAAGGAATATATAAACACTTGGTATGCATATATAAATATTTGATGATGCGGATTGGCGGAAAGTTATAGGTCAGAAATGATAACTCATTTGCTTTCCGTAATGATTCGTTTATTGCGAAAGGACACAGTCAGCGTTGATGTCACATGTCAGTGTGGCATCAGCGAGTTCGCGTGAAATTTTGGACACGAATGACTAAAAGGTGATGGCGATCGTTCACTCTCGACATGACATGATATGTTGACAGCCGTTGTGCTCGTAGCTTCACCTTCGTGTAACTTAGAATGTTCCTTTTCTACGCAACGACGACGGGACGCGACGGAAATTGTGTTCGCAGCAGATTGCGAGCGACGTCATACTTGCGCATCGATTCGCGATTTGACAGCCTTTATCCGTTCTTGCGAAAAATTATCACGAGCCAATAATTTTTAGCAAAATAAATAAGAGAGGAGATACTGACAAGAATAGGAACCAAAGACTGACTTCCAAGAATCTTTATACCGGCGATCCCTCGCAATCTGTCGCCGCGATTAACGACCCATACCTCGTCATGCTTGACCGAGTCGACGTGAATCGATAATATTATAAACATTGCAATAACAATCATAATAATAATCATAATAATCATAATAATAATAATCGTCATTAATATGAATTATGATCTCAGGTAGGCTAGTAATATAGTGTCTACTCTACATACAATACATACACTGGCCGGACGATTCCTCTACTGGGCCTTTTTCTACTATTTACAAACGCATAAATAATATTAATTATATTATCATATATCTTTAGATATTTATAATATTTATATGTGTGTGTAATAGTACTGTCGAGTTGACGCGCTAGATGTTGTACGGTTATACCGCGATAGAGCTATGGGTAGTCGGTACTACGAGTTTTTCCCTTTTTATCGAGAATAATTGAGTACGGAAAATAAAACTTGAATAAAAAGTTGAAGGAGAGAAGGGAAGGCAATGAGAGATAAAAGAAACATCGACGATGACATTGAAAAAGAGAAAAAAAAATGAAAAGACTAGGAAACGAGGAAGCGGGTTGGGGCAGTATATCTCATCATCTTCCGTTTTATACTGTACACTAATTACAAGATTGTAGTCTCTGATTATTGTCAGCCACACCACACAAAACGCCCGCCGATGCACAGCGCGCGCCCGCGATAAACGTCTCTTTAGCGATCGGTCGCTTCGTCGAGTCACACCCGTCCGGGAGATTTGAGTTCCTGAGTCGCAGGCAGACCGCCGCCCGCCGGATGGGGCGATTGATCGGACCCACCTGATGACGCCGTCGACGACGACGACGGTGACAAACCGGAAGACGCGGTAGTCAATAAAACTGCCGATCCGGCGGTGGTACCTCCTGCCGCTCCGCTACCACCGTTGATCGTAAAAGATTTCACGTTACTGGCAGCGGAGATCGACGAGGACGAGGACGTAAGTATGCTCGGAGCCGTGGATGGTGGTATTACGCCGCCAAGTCCACCAAGAGTCCTCGAATACGTCTCCAGCAGAGATATGTCACCTGAGCCGAGATGGGACGCACCGTACAAATTCCTGTAGAAGTCCGGATGCGGTCTTACAAATTGCGTGCCCGGATGTATCGGGTGGAGGGGATGATGAGGCGGCAGTCGACTAGCCAAAGGGCTTACGAGTTTGCCCCCTGTAGTGCCACCACCACCTCCACCGCCGCCGCCACCGCCAATGCTTCCTCCGCCTCCGCCCGTTCCGCTGTAAGGTGACGTGAGACCTGTCATCGTGGCTGGATTCGTATTCTGCTGATCGCCGTCCTTGCTTGCCATGTCCGCCAGTGACCAGATCCGCGGCTTCGTCGTCACTACGCTACCCGTAGACGGCGCGCTGGTACTCGGCGGAAGATGATGTTGACTACCTGGCGACGTGCTCTCCGGCGAGGGATGACGCAACAATCGACCGTGATTTTGAGTGAGATACGCCGGATGCTGCAGTTGCAGCGGATGCCTAGGTTCCCTCTGATCATACAGACATTCCGGACTATCCGGGCCACTGTCCGCTCGCGATTCGCTCCACTCGCTCTCGGTTCTACCTTGGACGCCCGCCGATCCACCACTGCCGCCATGCAATAGGTCCAAACGGTGCGCCGGTCGTTCCCCGTCCTCGCTAGAACCTGTACCTGAGTCTTTCGAATCTGAATGAAGAAGAAAAAATCGAGCGTCGTAATTCGGAATAATACAGCCGATTTAAATTTTCAGTTTTTTAAAAAACTGAATTTATTTAAGAATTTAATCAGAAGAAATAGAAATACGATAATCGTAGTACTAATATTGTTGGTCGGCATTTGATAAATAATGTGATTATATTTAAGAAATATATTATTCAAGTGACTCACCTAGCCGATCTTTCTCATCGACGCTTTTCCTTCCGCTATCATCATCTTCGTTATTGTTATCTTCGTCTTCAACACGATTTCTTGGTTCCCATGTCATTTTATTTTCTTTTTTCAAGCGTCTCCGCGCGTTCGCAAACCACGTCGACACTTGTGTTAGTGTCATCTTGGTAATAATAGCCAGCATGATCTTTTCGCCTTTCGTGGGATATGGATTCTTCTTGTGTTCGTTTAACCACGCTTTCAGCGTGCTCGTTGTTTCCCGTGTTGCGTTTTTTCGCCTCGCGCCATTTAGATCCATGCCATAACTATAACAAATTAAAATGAGAAAAATTATATATAAAGTCATTCCCACATACAACTATCATTGAATTACTCTCTTATATTCTGTAGAAAATATTTTTATAGGCGATGTATGCAAAAAATGTGAATTAACAAAGCAATAATGACAAAGCAATGATGGAAATTCAATGGTGACAGTATGAAAGACCATTGCTTGTTTATATTCTCAATAACAACTTGCGTCTCGCAATCAGAACGCAGATGCAGAACTTGCGAGCTAAGTCACGCGTTTATTATCCTGTAACTGGTCTGGTAGGCTTCGAAACAGTCTCTGCGCCTCACCAGACCAGTCGAGGATTAAGTTCTTCGTCATGAACGCGTTTTCAAGGGAGACACGTGACCTGGATAGACACATACATGGGACACGATACTTTATACGCGAGTGAGCGAAAATAAATGAGATACTGAAGAAAGAGCCAATGCTAAGGGGGGCTAGCAGATCTTCCGCGGAAGTCCACGTCAAAAAACTTATCCCATCGCAGGGCTCGTTATGCCTTTCCCAACGTCAGTATAAAAGTCCGAGTCTTGCTCGGTTTGAAGAGCGATATAAGCGGGTAGGTACTACTTTCATCCCAAGCAGATCTCTATCTAACGGTTTAAGCTCTTTCCTTCCATTCTGGCCAGAGAAAAGAGAGCAGCGGGGCGGAGGGAGAGAAAGGGAGAGAAAGAAGAGGAGAGCAAGCAACCTTCTTCTTGCTTTCCGCCTCACTGTCGGACTGGAGCGACCGACCCTCTGGGATCCCATTACTAAAAGACTAACCCTTATCAAAGATTAAACTTCGGTATAACTGCTGAATCGACGGGATCGAAATTAAATTTTCCACCACCAGAGCGACCGGCTAGGACTCACAGGATACTTTCTCTCCGCTTTTTTCTTTCATTCCCTCTTTTCTTCTCTGCTTCTCTTTGAATTTTATTTTATTTTATTCTATTCGTCTCTCTCGTCTTTCGCAGTTTTTTTCTTCGCGTGTACGATCTGGCCGAGATGTCACGATCCAAAGCTTCGTGTGTCTCAAGAGATTTATACAAAATCGCCGATCTAATCGGGAACGGTTTTTTTAATCGTATACGTTATTAATAACTGCGACCATTACTGAACTTACTCTGTCGTAAATATAAATGAATCATAGCCTTATTGAGAATTATTAATACATAACAAAAAAATTTCATTATAAAACTACGAGTTAATTAGTCTTACGTCCGATATATTTTCATCACACAAACGGTTACGAAGCAAATGAAGGCCTATACAGATTCCGGGCGTGAAAAATTTTCGTCATAAAAATACTGCTGAATGACGAGATATCGTTGATTCAAATCCCCAACCGGCATCTCCGCCACCTTTTCCGACGATGGCCCCGTCACGGCGCGTCGCCATTATTGAGCTTTATTTTCGCCTTCGCACACCCCGAGACGTATCCAACAACGGGGGCGAGGATGGGTAGGGCGTGTATGGACGCGCGACTGACGTCCCTGGTGTTGCGTGGCGTTGGGTAAGTTAGATATAGGGGGGGTGGTAAGCGTGGAAGTGGCGGCGGGAGATGGGAAATTAATAAAACTGTCACTTATCTACCCTTCTCTCGGAGGCAGGCCTACACACGGCATTTCTCGCTCCTCTATCTTCGTTGTCACCCTCCGCCCCCGTTCGCTACCTCCCCATCTCTTTTCACCCTTCCTCACGTTATCTATCTATCGCACTTTTCCTGCTTCTATTTGTCTCGCTCCGATTCCGAGGCGCCCCGCATGCGGGATTTGAAGCAGCTGAAACGAAGCTAAACATTTCAATTTGGCATCAGGCGCTTTCATGCCACGCGCGCGCGCCTTGATATACATCTCTCTGTCTCTTCGTCTTTCGACCTATCCTAACCTTTCCACAGTGTACTCCTCGTCCTATCCGCTCGACGCCAGGTCGCAAACGCGGAGGGTCGGAGACGCGCGTACTGCCTCCGTCGAGAGAACAGAAGCAAAGGATGGTTTGGGTAAGTCGAAGGGAGGCGGAGGATGCACGAAACGGACCAACATCGATAGAACGGGGACAGGAAAAGTGCGAGGAAGACAGAAAAGAGCCAAGAGCACCGAGAGGAGACGGCAGGACGACGGCGGCAGTGGTGACGGCGGGGGGATGGCTTAACCCCAGTCTGTTTGCGAGGAGCAAATGGCGTTCTGCAGTTATTTTAAAATTCAGCCGGTGGCAGGGGGCGCGGATCGGATTAAAAAATCAGAGTGGAAGCTTGTTTCTCATGATAACAGCCAGCCGCCCCGAGAGCGGCAACTGCTGGTGCCGCTGGTTTCTCCCGATTCCGCCTCTCTGCCACTCCTCCGTTCCATCTCTATCTCTCTGTTTCCTCCATCCATGTACTGAGCCTGTTTTCCGTCTCTTTTCTTGGCTCGCAGCATCAACGGTTCCACTCTCCCCGTTACTCTTTCTCCTACGTCCCTCCTCCTCCCTTTGCCGATCCCTCCTCGCTTCATGCCAAGCGATTCTCCCAATCTATCTCTCGTACAGCCGCTACCTCCGGTATCATCACCGCCGCCAACCATCGCTATCGCCATCGTCAACCGCTTTAAATATACGACAGCTACATATGTAAATATATATACAATATATATATATATATATATATATATATATATGTATGTATATGCGGTGGACCGGCAGAATATGGACAAGCTCTGTGCATTTGCCGGAAATATATAAATATATATGCAAATGTGCATAGGTGTGCGTTGATACGCATACGTATGCGCGGCATCGCGCGCATCCTCCTCTCCTCTCCACAACTGATCGCATCAAGTGCTTGTTTCCATGGTGATTGCTAATCGGGCCGCGCCTCGTGTTCTATCCTACGCCATTTCCATCTTGTAATACCTTTCACCGTTTCGTGAAAAACAAGAAACTCATTACTGATTGTATAATACATTGACTATAAAAGTGATTAAAAAGTTTAGCATTTCCGATTTTTACAGAAGGTATCTATCTATTCTCGACAATCGTTGCATTTCAGAAAAAACTATTTCTCGTTACTTTGAAAACAAATCTTTATCTGAAGAAATACTTTCGACATTGTCACTTTCGATCTCTTTGTGGGCCGCATCCCAAAGGCATTCTCAATGTAGCTGATGCAACTTTCTTTATCAATTCAACGGTATCTACATTATAACTATAAAAATTTAGATTCTGATTGTTGTAAAAAAAATGCGAACTATGTAAGTCTATTAACTTGGAAATAATCACTTGTTTTTACCGAAGCAATCAGAAAATGTGAATTATAAAATATTGTTTTAATTAGTCACATTAACATTTTTCTTTTTTTAAAATAATTATTCTTTACGAATCTTTAAATATGCAATTCTATCAAAAACCTATAATAAAAACGCGTTATACTACTAATTAAAATTTTTATTTTTCAAATATTATTATAATAAACTACTTAACGTACTTATTTCGTTTAATTAGACATAACATTTGATTTGTATTTTTTTTCCAGAAAATTGTAATTAAAATATTAAATCCATATCCATAATGTTGATGTGAATATTAATAAATCGGAAAACAATCAATAATACAATATGTTGTTAATAATAGTGATTTTAATTGAGATGATATGTGAAAACACTTTGGATAATCGTTTATATAAAAAGAAAAATAAAGAACGAACTATAAGAAGATAACTATGACCAACTAAAAAAATTAATTAAATATCATTTTAATATTGTTTACTATAGTTTTTAATTAACTTTTAAAAACGAGCAAAAGAGAAATGAATAAAATTTTAACAGAAAGTTAACAGAAACATTAATGAAGAGTTGTCCCATAAAATTACTGTTAACCGGTTTAAAGAAATATGAGTATACTGATCGAGTAAACGTAAAGTAAATTTAAATAAACACGCATAACGATGCGTATATATTATCATTAAGCGTCAACCATACAATGTCTCAAGCCATACTAATCTAATGTATATACAAAGTGTTGATTTAATACCGTAAAGCACTTTGATTAATGCAAGTCGTAAAAGTATTATCGTCGATATGCGCAACACATTTCCATTGATGTAAACTGCATTACACTTCGACTTCTGCGAGATAATTATAACCTTCGTCTCGAATTAACACACGTATCAACTATCACAGTTCCCAGTTGTATGAAATATCGCTATTGCATTCAATCGGATTACGGAAATTTGTGAAGAATCGTGATTTGCATATCTCGCATATTTCGTCAATGTACGGCGCTGTAAATGTAAATATGTAAAAATGTAAATATGTAAAGGCTGATATTTTTTTTCGATCCGGACGACTTATTCGTCAAACTGAATGACCGCGCATTGCGGTTAACATTCTCCAAGGGATGGACCGCTATCGTGAATATATTTCTCATAGATAACAACCGGTTCTCCGTGCGCTTCCAAGCTTCGGATTCTGCAAGATCCAGTTAGTTTTCAAGACAGCGACTACAGGAATCGAGGCGACCATTAAAAGCCAACTGAACGACCATTTCTTTCGCCCTTTTCCCGTCAACCGGTTAGCGTAAACGCGTCCATCAAGATGTAGCCTCCAGAGAGGGTGGAAATGAGGTGGGGGGAACCCCGGGGGTGACCAAGGGCAGTTCACCTCGGGGCAGGTGTGCGGTTGGCATGACTCCGCCCCTCGTCACCGGCCGTAACTAGGGATGATATCTAACTTCGTCCTCCATCCTGCTCCCTCTCTTCTGGGCCCTCCGCTCCCGACGCTCCTTTTCAGATACGGCCGTCATGCCTTATGTTTTATCAACGCGTTACTGCGGCCATTTCAGTGGTAGACGCCATCTTTCTGCGACACGACTGTGAGCACGCACGAGGGTTGCGTTTTCGTGCGCATCTTTCCATCCAAACTATCCAGTTTGTCCCAAAGTTCCGCTCGCCTGCGCACCACTATCCCTGTCGTTTGAGGTCACGCTTGAGTTTAATCAGCTGCGAGTCCGCGG